AGATGAAAAATAAAAGAAATATGTTGGCACAATATGTTAAAATCTCGAATATTCGCAAATTATTTTAAACTAGAATTTCATAAAAATTGTTCTTTTTAAATCTAAGATTTGAAAATTTTTAATAATCTATAATATATCCTAGACAGATAAACCGCCTTCGCTCAGAATCGTTTTTTGTATTCAATGATATAATATAATTGGATTCAAATTTAATTCCATCCATCACAGTAACCCACTTGTAACCTACTGTACAGCAGAGTGACATCCACGACTTACCCGCCTTTTTTTAAATTTAATTTAATATATTACAAAGTTAAGCTCTTCCAAAATGTTGACCCTAGTTACTCCTTTGATATTCATTGGATATAAAAAATACATTAGCGAAATAGCGAATATCAATTTTCAACTGTTTAATGACTATTTTTAAACGTATTACACTTGTCAATTTACATTTTATATAAAAACGACTTACAAAATATTTATTAACGTATACAAATGATCTGTAATTTTATCAAAAGTTATTATATTACTATAAATTTAAAAATGTGGTAATTATTCGTTAGGTATTATCTATATTACATATTTTAATATAATAATAAATTTAAACAAAAAATAAATAAAATTGATATTTGAATATTTAAACATTTTTCCCTGACTTTTTGGACGCAAACAATTCTATTAGATACTTTTTTTAAATCTAATGTATCTGTTGTTTCGTGTTCTATTGCAATCGTAGCCAATTCAGTCAATCGGTTTTGAGACATTGCGTTTCTGAGGTAATTTTTGATTATTTTGAGCTTTGAGAAACTCCTTTCTGCCGACGCCGCGGTTATCGGTATGGTTAACAAAATTCAGAGTGAACTTACTATGTTAGGAAAAGCATTATAAGCACCAGGCATTGTTTTTAAAAACTGAGTGCTCCTATAGATGTATAATCTTCTTTCATTATATGACGAAAAATTAGTAATTATTCATACAATTCAGAAGCAATATCATATAAATTTCCATCACTTAAATAATTTTGCAAATCTAAACAATTCTTCATTAGGTCGTCATTAGTTATTTTTGAAAGTTCGCCAATATTGTGTAAAAAACTGAAATTGTTGTTATAAATTTGAAATTGATTAAATCGTTCACTAAATGAAGATATAGCTCCATCGGTAATTACATTAAAATAAAATGTTCGAAAATTGTTTTCTGGATCATCATTTATATCATCTGAAGTTTCATAGTCAAATTGTTTTTTTATCTTTCTAAGACACTTCTTTTTAAATGTTTTGTCAATATTCAAGATATCTGCTATTTCATTAGCTTTAATTTTTGAAGATTAAAAACCATTTTCTCAAAATGATTTTAAAATTTCTAGAAGACCATTTAAAAGGTTACTACATTTGTCCAAATGAATATTAATATTCTATAAAGTTTTGCTTACAGTATTTACTTCGACTAATATTTCATACCAAATTATCAAACTTAGGATAAATTCATAACTTTCTAGTTCATTTGTATCTAAAGACTGAGCTTCGCTTTTCGTTTTTGGATCTAAAGTATTATCAGCACCACGTTGCTTTTCTAGACTTTTCTTAAGTTTTAGTTTTTTTTCTCGTTTTTGGTGGCCAGAATCAAATTTACGATACTTATCTTGCTGCCGACTACTCATATTATGTTATTAGTTTTTTCTGTTTTATAATAACAAATTAAAAAATGAAAATTATATAACAATATATATTGATAAATTACGATATTTTTATACAACACACAGGTCAAGACACAGATATTTTGAGTGTAGGTACACGCTCAGAAAGAATTTAAAATTGTTAAACTAAGTATTTGACTATAAATTATATTAAATATTTCAATATTTTAACAATTATTACCTGGAGAAATAAATTGTAATTTTCAAACTCTTCAAACAGCTTGGGCGACAGTCGAAAAATAATTGAAAATTTTCGGCTTGTCGTTATTCGTTAGCACTAAAGTTCTCATAATAGGTATATTAAATCGTTTATATATAGCAGTTAGGTATCGTCGTAATCATCGTATAGGCGGCACATTATGTAATCTGCAGACGCAGTTACGACTCACGAATCACTATATGACAGCTGCTCGCGATACCAGGTAATGACTAATTACATTTATGAAATGCGATAATCTTTCTAAGAATCCAGGTCTTCTATACCGTGTGCGGCGTGCCATACCGATCAACGTTGGTGTATACTAATTTAATGTAATAATATATTGTTATTTTGTTTTATTACAAGATTTCCACACAACATATTTTTCAGTGTACATTTTAACTTTTAAGCGCGAAGCCCTTGAAAGCACGAAGCCCTGGTCAAATGCCCCGTTTTGCCCCCCCCCCCCCATAACGCCGGCCCTGAATATTTGAATACATTATGACAATAATTTAAGAGGACGCTATACATCCATTTGTTGTCTCCGTCTTATAAGTGCATAACATAGCAAATTTAAGTTTAGCAAATAACGTTTGGTTTCGTTAGAGTGAATTGATCTATTATGCAACTTAATATTAAGAACATTATCTGTGTTTGTATGTGGGATTTTTATGATATTTCGGTTTTGTAGCAAAAGTTATGTGTATATAAAAAATAGTAAATTAAAAATGCTCATAACTCACTTAAAAATTAAGTAATCGTAAAAAAACACTGATAATGTTCTTACCATCAAATTTCATAATAGGTGAATTTACTCAAAATTTTAAACTAATGGAATTAAGCGTGATCTGCTAAGCGTAAATTTGCCGTGTTACGCACTTGTAAGACTGAGACAACAAATATGTGTGTAGTGTCCTTTTAACAATATGTACTAAAAATTAAGTCAAATCAACCAATAATTAATGCGGAAATGTTATTTTCTAATTATTTATAGTGGCTTAGGTATTTTTATTTATCCTAAAACCAACATTCATTCATGAATGTTATATAATTATAATAAGTAACCATACAAAGAGTAGACTTTTTTATAATCTGAAAATATCTGAATACTTAGATAAAAGTACATTGTACATATGCTTGTAAAACATATTTTTAGAAATTTTGTTTTGTAATTATTTCTAAATTAAATATTTCTTTCAGATCAAATTAATTTATTTATTTATTTATTGTAAATTTATAGGAAAAATCAATTAACGGACAACATATTTCTGAAGCTATTTCAACTGGTAAAATTAATCTTAATTATCTTGCTCTTGAACTACTATATTTAATATTGTTTAACTGATACTTTTAGGTGCTGATACCAGTGATATCTCATTTTCAGATAATGAATTGGAAAATTTTTCTTTCTCATTAAAAGCTGACAATAATAAAGTAAGTTTTTAGCTGTGTTTGAAAATGTAACGATTTTAAATACATAATACATAATTTTTAAAGTACTTGATAAAACTTTTTACTTCATGATACATTACTCATGCTTAAAATTGTATTTTATGAAACTCCCAATCAATATATAATAGATACAAAATTTCTTGTTTTCATGCTATTTCATTAAATTTTCAAATATTATTTAAAAWTTAACCATTTGCAATTAAATAGCAACTATTATTATTTACTGAAAAATGATAATCAACATACAAATTTTCCTAAAAAAAAAATAGAAAATAATACTTTAATTTATTCAATTATTTCATTGATGAATAATTTCAATTACTTTTTTTGGCTTTTAAAATGGAATTTTAAGAAATGCTTCTTGGAAAAATAAAGTAGTGTCTATACTTACAACCTTTTTCACTGGTGTCTGTTGAAAAAAATATAATTATAATATACATCTTAATATCTTATACATCTAAAAATATTTTGGGTGTAGTACAAAAAACTTTTATAACGGATTACTAAAAAATCAGTCAATTAACATACCCAATATGATACAATAACTAAAAAAATATTATGTTATTTTAATTGAAGTGATTTATTAAAGTCATGCTAAGTCAATGTATGTTGATAAAAAAAAAAAATTATAATAAATTTATGATTTTAGGTTTTCCAATAGGTAATTATTGTTCATAGGCTTTTATAGCTTTACAGTGATGCTGATGTCTTCCACTTTGTTTTTTTTTTTTAAGTGTTATCATTGATTTTATGATATACTATAAAATATTATAATGTATTATACTTTAATATTATAAAATCAATGATGTTATATTCATTCTGATGATTTCTGAAGCACTTAAATCATATTTTAGTTTGAGTTCAAATTGATTTTTAAAGTAAACATTTTACTAATGTTATTCTTTTTGATGATACTACTATCACCAGCTGTTTTTTAGTTATATTGTTTATCATCCACTAGGGGTTTGAAATCTATAAATTCCTTGTCTGTTCCTTCAAAAACTGTACGGTTTTCTGGCTTATACATCTGATTAATGTTACTCATTGAACAGTAACATATATTGATTTACCTTCTTGGGCATTTTCAATTCACCCTACATGCCTGTCAATCTCATTTTAGGTAAGTGCTTATTCTAAAAACCTATTTGTGATTTGAACATTAAAGGTAAAGGCTTCATATTTCTACAAAGCAAATATAAATCTATTTTGGTTTTGACCACCACAATTATCCGAGTAGAAACAAAATTATTATTCTTAGATCATGCACTTCATGAACTTAACTAAACATATCCCTATTTCATTGGAACCTCTTTGCCCCAAACTCATTCCATATGTAGCTATAACCCAGTTTTTTTACCTACACCATATATTATGAAATTATATACTGACAATTTTCTTTCATAATAAAAATAATTTTCTTCACTTTGAGTAGTAGTAAGGACTTTTTGTAAATCAATACCTAACTGCAGCACATTGCTCTAGTTCATAAATTGTTCGTTTTGTATCTCTTGTAATTTTCTTTTAAATGTTTATCATTAAYTTTAATAATTATTTTTCTTTTGAGCTAGCTATCTTAATTTCTTTACATTGGTCACACAAGTATCTTTTTGGTTTAAAAAAACAGATTGAATGATTTGTTAAAAACATCAGATTGTCTCAGATTGAGATTTGGAGTAATGGTACTGTTTGTTCTTTTGCCCATTCTACATAAAAGTAATACATTTTTTCAATTGAAAGATCTGATTCTAAGTATTGCTTTTGTGAATTCTGTCTTGTGTAGTGATAGTCAACTAATGGGAATATTTAAATATGTTTCATTATTCAATCTATCAAATTTCCTGGGAACTTAATATGGTTGATGGGTATGTTTGCCTCTTTTATCAGATTTTAAGACTGGAGATATTGATAATTTTCTACCTATATTATATACTACTTTTTCTGATTTACCAAGGGTAATTACAAATATAATTTTTATTTATTTATTTATTAATACGGACAAATGTACAATTCACAATATATTTGTATATAAATAACAATAATATTTTAAAATAATGAGCTATAAAATAATAAAAGATTATATGGTTAATACATTTAAAAAAAAATAATAGTAAAAATGTTCATAAACAATTATTATAAGGTTAKTTTTGATGTTGGTTATCATTTTTCATTAAATTATTATTATTATCGTGCTGTATTTCTGTTATTTTATTTACATATAATTTTAGAAGAATACATTTAGGAAGCCAAACACATGGTACCGCAAAGATTCAAAGCAAAGAAACAATGCTTTTCAACAAACATTTAAAAATCAATATCTGGGAAATAATTTGTTACTACCGGTTTCTAATAACAACAATAAATACAAGGTAAGTTTTGATGCATTAATTACTGTTTCCATTAAAATTATTATTGCTATGTTATTTATCCGATATTGTATTTACTTTTAATTTAACATATAATTTTAGAATACATTTAGAAAGCCAAACCCATGGTACCGCAAAGATTTAACGCCAAGAAATAATGTTTTTCAACAATCATTTAAAAACMAATATCAGGGAAATAGTTCATTACTATCAGCTTCTATTAATAATAGTCCAGCCCTTTTCCCACCAAGGAATATTAATTCACAATCTAATAGAGGTAATTCTAACAACTTCAAGAAACTGACAAATGAAATAAAAGGTATGTTTTGTCATTGTGTAGTTTATTATAAAAATGTGATTTTATGTTATGTACTAGATAAATGGAAATAATTTCCCTAGTATTACTAATTATGTATTCATCGTTACCCATGTAACTTATTAAAATTTTAATTCTGTTTTGTAATAAAAATGTTCATATAATATAATAATTTAAATTAATTCATTGTTTCAAAAATCAATTACAGAAAATGACAATGTTACTCATAGTGCATCATTCACAAAGAATAAGAATGAACTGATGAATTTTCAATTTGGAAAAAATAGTCCTCAATTTATACCAAAATATATTGAAAAACCAACATTCAATTCTCCAAGACAGTTTAATATCCCGCCGGTACCAATAGTTAAACCATATAGCATAGTCGGAGAAGTAAGTATAATCATTTCAAATTAGACAAATAATCATTTTATTTTTCTATTAATTAAAACAAGTTTTATTAATTAATGTATGAGAATTAATTTTAAATGACAAATTTGTTTAAGAAAATTAAATATTTATAATTATTTAGACAATTATCTTAAGATTAAAATAAAATTTTAAGTTATTAAAATTAATAACTACTTAATAATTCTGATTAGTGACCAAATATTTTTTTTTAAATGTTTTGTGTTTATATTTTTATGAGTTAAAAAACTGAATTTCTAAATTATCTCAGAAGTGTTATCAAACGATTGGAAAAAAAATATGATTTTATTTGTTATTGTTATTTTATTTAGGTTATGTTGTATATTAAAATTATTTTATTAAATCAAAATGTATTAGTGGTGTAATCTTTTCAAATAAATCTATTTTATTGAGTTATAGACTTAATTTTATCTCATTAAAACATATTAAATTATAGTTTTTACATATTTGTAACAATTTTTTATTTAGAAATCATAAATGTTTTTGTTGTCATTTTCAATTATATGTCATGGCTATAATTATACCTTTTTGAGATTTAAAATTCATTATTAGGGTTTCATTAATAATACATTTCTAGTAATTATTTGTAAAATTTTAAATTTACAAATAAAAATGATTTTCTCTCATTAACTATATATATATATATATATATATGTGTGTCTTTTCTTATTTATTTTTAAAAAAATGAGCCCCACTAAACATTTTGTATGGGGACCCATGAGTATAACAATAATTTTTCTGTTTTAGTATTTGTGTCCTGTATCTTTGGTTGGAACTACAATAAAATTTTTATCGAGAAAACTAGCTAATACAAGCATGCGAGAACAAATTATTATTGAATTAGCCACACATGGTGTCATAGAGGTAAGTAACTTAAATTTATGTAATATTCTTGATCTTTAAAAATATATTAATCTTATAATTATTATGTTATGTTGTTAGCTGTGTGTCTAAACCTTTATCAAATTGTTTAGTAACAAAAACAATTAAACATCTTAAATCTATAAGATGTCTAAATCTAATTGATGTATTTGTATAGATGCAATAGATTAAAATAGTCATACATAGATAGAACTGACTATTGGAATAAGTTTTGTTCAAATTAATATTTTTAATACTGAAAATAAAAAATTTAAATTTAATGAAAAAGTTTTTGTTTAAATTCAAAATAACCTATTTGGATGGGAATCTGATTATAAGAACAATTTTGATGGTAAAAGGATTAATCGAAGTCAAGTAGTTTTTTTAGAATTTTTTTAAAATTCGATATTTTTTTGGTCAGGTTTCTGTTACACCCTGTATACATATTATATATTTGTAAATTATAAATGTTTGATAATAGTTACTTAGGTAACTTATAATAGGTATAATCGGTATTCTAAGAATATTCTCATTATGCATTATAAGTAATGATTAATAGCTATTAATGTGGATAAGTAAATTTAATGCATTAACAAAATAGATTATATTATCATAGAAATTAGAATTTATTTGGTATAAAATGTATATAACATAATACTGTTATAATTACAAATACATTTGTAATAGCAATATGCAAAAAAAATGACAAATACAAAATTAAATATTATGACCATAATAAGGTTTACATAATTAACGTTAAAGAAGTATTTGTATAGGCTATATTATATTGTTTATAATTTAACCTATTCAGTACATAATGTATGGTCCCGTGTATAATCCTGACACCCAAATTTAGAAGAGACGGTCCAATGAACAGATAAWRCAGCTATTTGGGAAAGGAAGTATAACACAATTTGTAAAAGGTACAAGATTGGAGTGGGCAGGCCACGCCTGGAGAGCTGACAACAGTATTGTCAAGGCGGTGCTTGTAAATAATTTAAACAAAAAACTACCGCGTAGTAGACCAAAGCAACGTTGGTTAGATATAGTCAAAAGAGAAATGAAGGAGCTTAGAGCAGATTTAAATGAAGACATGAACCATGCGTATAATAAAGAAGAATGGAAGAATTTAGTATTGACAGTAAAGGGCCTAAATGGCCTGTAAGTTACAAGCTTTGGCATCCCGAACAATTAATGTACACTAAACTAGAGTTTTGAAATACCAATAGAAGCAAAATAATAATTTAGAAATAACTACTTTCGATGTTTTGCTACATAGTATATGATTTATAAAACAGAAAACTAAATATTATTTTAATTTAATATCTAACTTATAAAATAATGATCCCTTGTTTCAATCAAATTACCTATTTGTTCTGTCGTATACGCCACGCAAATCCTTAACGTATATAACAGATATATTTCGGGTTCTGATTCCTATACCTTCAAACGAGTAAATAATTGATACCTTCTGTAGGAGTTGATTTAAGTTCTCCTTCTAGTGACCACATTAACGAGTACTGTACAAAAGGATAATTAAATAGGTCCAACAGGATTTACACTATACAACTCTAAGGTTACTTTACCTTCGAACAACTGACCTCGAAGTCAACTTTCATTTTGCCGTCGTTTCATTTCACCTCCGTACCATTTCGTCGAATTTAATTTATTGCCGTTCCATCTTGCCGAATTTTTAATTTTTAATTTATTTGTTTTTCGATTAAATTACTTAATATAACCCTTAAGTTACAAATTCTAAACTAATTAATTATATTTATGTATTTATATAAGGTTAGATTATTACATCATTAATCATGAATAAAAAAAATTATACGTAATAATAATAAAATTATAAAAATGTTTTTTTTTTTAATAATTAAAATTATTTGTTGTGTCAATAACAAATGTCCAAATAATCAATCCATTTTACCTGTGGAGGATCACTTGTAACTCACTTCTTAAGATAGCAAATTCTTTATTCGAGCTTGATGTATTAATGTATTAATTGAGAATTCTTTTAACTTATTTTCCATGGTTGAGAAGTTTCATGTCATCCTCAATTTTGGAAAGTTATTTTCGTAATATAACTATAAATTCAAATACCTATACTGCGATGATTTCAAATTGCTGCTTTATTTAATGCATAATGCCAACCTTCTAAATCGTTCGTGAACAACTGTTCACTTATCTGTATTCTGTATTATTCTAGTGGTTCCAAATATATCGACTAAATCGTCTAATAATGTTATAACAATTCAAAATACACACAATTCTGAATTCATTCTATTTTATTTATATAATTATCGGAGATTTATCAATCGATAACTTAAGAATTCAAATAGTTTAGTACTAAGATCGTTTCAAATGATAAATATTTTACAGTATCTGTATTTTATCGCTTTACAAATCACAAAATTACCATCATATTTTAAAATTAAAATAATCAGAGAATTTAACGGTGAAGTGTGTTGGARGCAAATTGAGATTAATTCGGTGGCGAAACGGGATACGACCGACTACGAGTACTGGACGTTCGTGGTTGAGATATCTCTAACATAGGTAATGTCTTACTCTTTCTCGATTTACCAACAATAACGAGTACTGGAAAAGAAAGAAAKTACCACAGTGTCTTACTACCTTTTCCAAAAGTGATATTCACCACAAACGTCTCCTTATGCACAAGTAATAAAACTCAAAAATAGGAGTAAAGAAAAACAAATAACACTTGGTTAAAAGAAATAAAATAAATACAATAAAATATATCAAAAAAAAAATAATAAAAAGAAACGTAAAATACTGGTCGTTAACTACGACAATAAGTGAAATGACTCTATAACCCCGCTCCCGTCGCAGACGTCGCCTTATGTTTATGTAGTCGTTGTAATTTTGATGACTCGGTTTGATTGACTCTGCATCGTATGTTACCGCTATTTTAATATTTTATAATTTTGTTATGTGTATAATATACAACATTCCCTTTAATTGTATTCTAATACTTATCAGTTCATCACTAAATACTAATATAATATATACTAGTATATTATAGTATATTATATATACTAATATATTCTTAATTATTTTTGTAAATTGCTTTTTTTTTTTCAGAATAATTGGTGGACACCCGATGATATGTTTTATGCAACATTTACAGAAAGAAGTATCGCTCAACATGTATTTAAAATATATCCTCATAACTCAAAAAGTTCATACTAATACTAATTTAATTGTTATATGTATTTTTTTAGTGTATTTATGCTTAGCAACAAGTAAAACTTATGAAGGGAATATTACAGATAAACTCAAATAAAATAATATTAATGTGTCTCTCATTTAATGTACAATTCTTAACCCGAGTTTTAAATATAGCATATTTATAAGAAAAATATTGAACATGATACATAATTTGTACATTTTTGTAGTCAACATAATAATATATCAATGGCTAAGAGTCCAAAAGTTTTATGTTATGTGTTGTTAACACTAGTTGTACAAGAGACTAGATTTAATATTTAAAATTATTCCAAATAATCTAAACCAAGTAATTTGAATTGTAGATTTTGGTTTTTGGTTATTACAATTGATTTATCTAAAATATTCTATTATTTCTCTTTTAAGTTTAAATGGGAGTTAATATATAGGGCAATTATAATATATTTTTACCTTGAAAAACAATGTTTGGTGGACTTAAAAATTATTAATTAAATTAAAACTTGAATGAATAAATTATATCACTAGTTAAATTGTATTTTGGGCCAATTTTTTTGGTATAGATATTTAAATATATAATAGACATAGCCATTTTTTTTAAGGATGCTCTTCCTATTTTCATGCCTTAATTATGTGTGTATTCAAAATCTGATCTTTGGATTTAGGAAATTCAAGTTAGGGACAACATCGACCAATATTGAAGGTCGATACATTTTTAATTACAATTTATATGTATATTAATATTATAAATAAGATGTCAAAAAGGAGAATCCTATGAAAAATTTTTGCAGTAAAAATCGAAGAAGTATATCTCATTTTAATAAGTTTAATGGTGGAGACACTATTATCACGTCACGTCACACAAATAATATTGAAACCTATTAATGCATACTGTTTTAATATATTAGAAACACATTAACCCCCACTCACGTAATATTGTAATATTTCATTGAACCTCACGTGATATCACGTTTTTATTTTTCTATTGTTTCTCGGATTTAATATTACGTGACATAACATTTTATTTCAATTTGGTGAAATTGTTGCTTGCCGTTTAAAACCAATTTATGAACTTTTTTATAAAACATGGTTGAAAAATGAATTTAACAATTTAAAGTTCACGAAGGTTTATACAATTGTAAATTGACTAGCTATAGGGACCAAAATATCCGACAGGAAGCTTGGGAAGAAATCGGAAGGGAATAAATTGCAAATGCCAGGAACACACACTTATATTTTATAAGTTAAATTGCATTTGTTAAGTTATTTGCATGTTTTATACTTTAATGATTTTGAAGAATGATTGAATTTTGCATAACATATGRTATTTTATAATAAAAATGACATGTATTTGACACTGATCTCATAGCCGAACATGGTTAAAATGTCTATTTTTACCTCGGTTAGTCCGGACCGTAGACCTAAAGTTAATAGGTCTATTGTCCAAACCATCATTTTTTATCTAGGTTGTAATGTTTCGATGAATTTATAAATATATATTATTATTAAATAATGAAATATATTCCTTAAATTTGGTAAGTACTAAGTATTATTAAGTATTTTGGTATGTATTTATTAACGACGACATTATAACTGTTGCTTATTGATTTACTCATCGTATTGATTAAATATATAATGTATATTTAATCAATGCTCATCGTTATTCAAAAAACGGTCAGTGTTCACAAGAAATATTTTTCATATAAATAATAATTCATATACCTAATAAATTTAAATAAAATTATTCAATAACATGGTTTAAAATGTTGTATAATTTTTAAATGTATTATATTACAAAATAATAACACTGTGTAATGTAGTAATATGAATTATATTTTATTATTAAATTAATTAAGTATTTAAATTATTAAAAATAAAAATATATAATTTTATTAGTCATTATCAGCTTGAAGTCGACCCCTACAAACATAATTTAGTTGCCAAGGTACACTATCAGCGGCGGAGTTAAAATAGTTTTTAAAATTTTCTCAGATGTCAAATGCTTCCCGCGTACAATTTCTTCTTATACCACTTATATTTTGCATGCCCAAATCTTCATTTGATGATCTGCATCAGGATGTATATTATCTGCACATAACATATTATGGAGACAACAGGCTGCTAATACGATTTTTTCAGCCAATTCTGGTTGAACCTCTAATGATCTTCGAAAACATCTCCAACGTGCTGCCAGTATTCCAAACGCATTTTCCACCACTCTTCTACCTCTAGATAGCCTGTAATTGAAAATTTTATTTGGTTCATTTTCTCCTAAATGGCACCTACTATAGTGACGAAGTAAATATCGTTTGAGAGGAAATGCTTCATCACCGACCATGACGTATGGCTGTGGTACTCCATTCGCAACTAAAGGAACGTCTTCGGGCACATTCAATGTTTTATTTTCCAAATTTTTTCCAATTGTTGATTTTGAAAAAATTCCACCATCTTTGTTCCTCCCTTAAGAACCTACATCAATTGCTGTAAATTTATAGTCAGCGTCAACAAGTGATAATAGTATTATCGAATGGCAACCTTTTTAATTATAAAAAGTAGACCCGGCATTAATTGGGCATTGAATATTAATATGTTTTCCGTCGATCGCTCCCATGCAATTAGGAAATTTCCATAACGTATTGTACCTTTCTGCGACACCTTTCCAAAAAAATTCTGTGGGTTGAGGCATTACAATGGGCCTTAATCTTGTCCATATAACATCACAAACTTCAATAATTGTTTCTCTGACGGTGCTAAATCCCATCCAATAGTTAAATACAATGCTTCGAAAGGATTTTCAGTTGCCGAAAATCTAATATAAAATAAATATATTAATTGTTTAAAATACGACTTAAGAGGACGTGATACCCGCGTGTGTTGTCTCCATCCTACAGTGTATTATATAGTAAATTTTACGTTCAGCAGAACACGTGTAGCTCCGTTAGCTTAAAAATTAGAGTGAACTGACCTCTTATAAAATTTAAAGGTAAGATTATTATCTCGACAACCTCATATTCTTTTTATTATATTTAAATTTTAAAACAAGTTATGAGTATTTTAAGATGCACAAAAAATTTACAATTTTAAAATACTCATAACTCGCTTTAAATTTAATATATAATAAAAAGCATATGAGGTTGTCGAGATAATAATCTTACCTTACTATACTATATAATGCACTTGTAAGACGGAGACAACACATGCGAGTATAACGTTCTCTTAAAACATAAGTTAAGTTTGAATGATTGATATATCATATTTTATTATATTTTCACTTACTCATTCAATAATATTAAGCAGGAAAAACTTTAATGCCCATATTTATATAATTATGTTATTCTTAGCGGAAAATATTAATTTATAAATTGATAAATTGAGAAGGTGCTTTTGCAACGCAGTGAGTAGACGTCGCGATAAGAAAAGTGGTCAGGCTGCAAAAAAAATGACTCCATGGAAATATGAACATCAAATGTCTTTTATTTTACTATACTTAGAAAATAGAAAGTGTGAACAAAAAAAATTATATTTTTCTTAAAGTTTTTTGGTATAATTTAACCAATATTTACTTATTTAGGTCTACAAGAAATTTGAATAGTTCGATTGTAAATGAAAAATATTGTATAAATGGAGACATAATTTAAAATGATAAAATTCAGGGTAAAATGTAGATAATTCTCAAAATGCAAATGATGAAACGGAAGAAAGATTAGTAGAAGAGGTAAATGTAAATGGAATAGGGAATCAGGTTCAGAATATTGTAGCGTCCCAGCATACAGGAGGACAAACGACTGGTGTTGAGGAAGATGGTTTGGGTGTAATAAGTATAACAACTTAATTTRTGATTAATTTATTAGATATTTATTTGATTACTATGTAAATAAAACACTTTTACTGCACAAAATGATTTGGTTG